AAATATGGTAAATTATCGACTAGAATAAGTTGATCTTCCATTTCACCGACAAGAAGCACGTCGGTAACTAGAATAAAAGGCTGCAACTCCCGCCACAACCAGCCGGATTCACGGGGGAAAGTTAAGTTTGCGAAATTACCAACAAGCACTTTGGTAATTTTTGTTTTGGTTTGCCGGTTGTCAGATTGAATATTGCATGATATTACCGACAAATAACACGTGTGCATTGTTTTAATTCACCGACAAAGATCTTGTCTGACCCATGCCTGACCTATAAATAATATATATTACTCTTAATTTAACTGTTCCCAGAGTTTTAGACATGTTGCTTGTCGGTAAACTTTCAATTCACCAAGGAAAATTTTTAGGTCGGTGATTGTAGGTTGTTGAAGTTGAGTTTTCTAACAGTGTAACTTGGATGCAACAGATGTGGTATCCAAACCAATTAAGAAACACCACATCTTTTTTTATCCATTTCATCAATCATCTAATAAAGAGAAAAATTGAAGTGATATTTTTGAATTGATTCAAGATACCACGTCTGTTGCCAACCCCACATCAAATAATATTTTGGTGCCATAATCATTGCTTGAACCTTGAAATCCCACAAAGCTCCCTCCATTCCGCAACCCAAAACAAGAAAATGATTTGATAATCCATACTTTTGATCCCATTTTCTACCGTTTCCAAATCATTTTTAACAAATTTAGTAATTAAACCAAACCTCCCTTTCAACAAAATTTCTACAAGCATAATTTATAATTCATTAATTTTTACCCAATTCTTAGAATATATTTTTTTATTGTTTTATTTTTTTTTTAGTTTTGAAAATAGGCAATGAAAATTCTTAGAATAGATTTAAGTGACTACCATTCTAAGAAAGAGGATTACCTTATTAATTTTTGAAAATTCAGGAAACCTTTATACTTCTACACCATATGCACCTATCACTGCATCACCCAGAAACTATACCCAATGATTTTTTTGTAATCTATAGATAAACAAAGAAGTCACCGTCTATATAAGAAAAGAATAAGTACCTTGAATTTGCTTAGGCAACCAAGTTCTCCAAATCGAGTTATTTCCTCACTATTTTTGAGAAGGGAAATTGACGTAAGGGGGAGGCTCTGCAGAATAGGCCATGTTATTTTTAGCTGTTTACATTAAATTATAAATTTTTACAAATTATTCCCACAACCTTACAATCATTAAACACATAAGTCCTTATATTTCCACCTTATTGGGTACACATCCTTAAGGGATCAAATGAGATCCACTCATTAATCAAAATTCTAGGGATTACCCTGAGAACTTATTGAGTGGTTTGCCTGACACGACAATTGCTAAGGATCTTTTTACTGAAGTAGGACAGAGATACCATATATCTAATAAGTCTAGAGCTGGATATTTAGAGTGAACTAAAGAGTATGAAATATGATCACAATGGAAAGGTTAGGGATTATATTGTCAAAATGGTTCCCATTCAGTCTAAATTGAAAATGCATGACATCACCTTACCTGACAACTTCATAGTCCAGCATATTCTCAATAACTTGCCTTTTGAGTTTAGCCAGTTGAAAGCATCTTACAATGCTCAAAATGAAACTTGAACTGTTAATGACCCTATTTCCAAATGTGTTTTTGAGGAAGAAAAACTCAGGAGAGAAAAAGGTAAAGTAGCTATGTTTGTTCCTAACTCTAAACCTAAGTTTGTTAAGGGCATTCAAAATTGTTGAATGCTTGTTCTAACCATGAAGTGAAAGGTAGGTCGCTTGTTTACAGTTTTTTTTATTCCAATTCGGTTGATGTGCCATTAAATTGATGGTGGCTTAATAGTGGAGAAACTATTCATGTTGCTATTGCCTTGCATGGGTTCATAAAGAAACGGAAACCAAACGAGAGGGAATCCAACATTAGAGTTCAGAATGATGCAAGTTTTATTCATAGAATCTAGTTTCAAACTTGTTTTGGAAAACACTTTTTATGTTTCATCCTTCAGGAGAAATTTGATTTCTATTTCTATTTTAGACAAACTTAGTTTTTCATTTTCAATTTGCAATAAAATTAATTGATATGTTTTTCAACTCTTAAATTGTTGGAAAATTTGTTTTGCGTGATAATTTTTGTCAGTTGTGTTTGGCTACCAATGATGAGTATGCTTGCCTCAATATTGGAAAATCTATTTCTAAAAGACCTTTGACTAATGGAAATCTTTTTCACTTTGGTACAAACGTTTGGGTCATATCTCTAAAGAAAGAGTTCAAAGACTTATTAAAGAAAACATTTTGGCTTCTTCACTCATTTTTTATGATTTGGGAACATGTGTTGATCATGCTAAGGGTAAGCTAACCAAGATTAAGAAGGATGCAACTCATAGTTCTAAACTTACAGAGATTATTTATATAGATAATTCTAGGCCTATTACATCAACTTTGTGTGAGAGTATGAATATTTCATAACTGTTATGGATGACTTTTACCATTTTGGTTATCTCTATTTCATCAAAGAAAAGTCTGATGTTTTGGAAAAATTCAAAAATTTCAAAACTGATGTTAAGAAACAATTATGGAAAGTCATTAAAATTGTGAGGTCTGACCATGGTGGAGAATGCCATGGCAAATATGATAGTAAGGGGCAACATAAGGGTTTATTTGCCAAATATTTTTAAGAGTGTGGAATTGTTGCCCAACATACAATCCATTAAACAATCTCAAGGTTCTAGACAGGACTTGGGTTCTACAAACTCTTTAGTAAACCCATGA